GCCCGCCCTGACAATTTGATTGGATCGCCTGACAGTGGGCTTTAATACTCGCGCTACTATGGAGCAGAGCCAGACCGAACTTCCCCGAACTCAAACCTTGTGGGCGGGACTAAGTTCGGACTGGCACCCAGGCTAGGTCTGGGAGTCTCTACTGAGACTTCTACCTCCAACCCCAGTGTGAAGGGACTGCCTTAAGAGACAAAGAATCAGATTTACTTTGCTTCCACCTGCTGGCTTGCTCTGTTAAGAGGCTGATTTCATCTTCTAGCAGTAGTTCAACTGCCTGAAGCTGCCAAAACTAATACCTACTCAAATTACAACATAATTATTGAGCTGAATTTCAAAGAAAACTTACCTGACTCTAGAGATTATTGTTAGGAAGAAGATGAGAGAAACAAGTAAAAAAAATAAAAAAAATAAATAGTCTGCTATGACCTTGTTTTAAACTGAATTACTAATATCAGCAAACATTTCAATCATGCTCTAAATAATTAAGATCCATGTGAAGATATAAAATTGGAACATTATTACATACATCATTAAAATGCTTGGTTGTTTTCATTATGTATGGTGTCCTTTCATTCTTGTCATTCTTCATCCAGCCTTGTCCAAAGAACTCCCTGTGGAGGGGAAAAATACACCCATCACCATAAATATAAAAAACTAAAAAAACAAGCATTTAATTGAGCTTTGTCCTTTTTAGAACCCCTCGATCTAAAGATCTTTCATTTTTGCTGTGCTGAGATCTGCAAGTAGGCTACTCACTCATACGGGATGACTTTAAAGACCAAGTGGTCCAACATTGTGAGCTGCTCAGCAATCTCCAAGGCAGAGTGGTTTTCAAATGGTTCTGTCTTACTTTCTTCCATGGCCTGAACACACACACGTCATAAAGTCATTATTAATCCTAACACAGGAATCACAGCTAAATAACAGCCTGCTGGATTCAAGAAATTTTCTCACTCTTACCATCTGTGTGATCTCCTCAATGCTGGGCTGGCTGTCTCCAGGATCCTCCTGAGTCAGAGTCCTATGTGCAAAGAGAAGGTACTGTTATTTTAGAGGATTCTTTAAGGAGGATTTAGTTTTTATGCAATATTTTCAGAGCTACCAACCTATTTAACATTCCGGCTTGTTGAGAGATTTGGTCAGACCACATGTCACGATATTATCCTTCCAGTTTGTCTACAGTAGTGGTACCTCTCTTTCTATCTTCTGTACATTTTTAATGCTGTCCAATCACATTTTAACCTTGAATTTCAAACTAGACGCTGTTTCTTTCTGTCACCACATTTTAGGTACCTCCAAACCTGCTAAATTCTACACCATTTCTTAATAGACATGTGATTTAACTATTGGAATGACACGCCAGTGAAGAAAAGAAAACCAACCTGATAATGTTTGCAGCTGCTTTTCTTTCCTGTGTCAGGAGCTCTGGGTCATGCATCACCTCCTCCAGGAAGCCAATTACTCGCATCTTTAGTTCTGTGTTCTGCTCAAAGTCCTAATGAAGCAAACAGGAACAATTGGTGGTATTAAACAGGTCTTATTGTACCGCTACAGAAAAAAGAGTAGAGGGGGGTGAAGTTCACCTGCGAGTGTTTGGACACCCAGTGACGCAACACATTCAGGACTCTATTTGTAGCAGCTCTGCGAATAACAAACTCTTTGTCTCCGTTTCTTTGATCTGTAGGAAAACCTGGAATCCGGGTTAATACATTTGGATTTCTGTTTCTCTAGTAGACTGCTTTTGCTCTAATACCACAGTAATTTGCCCATGCAGCAAACATGCAACTACTGCTTTAACTGCTTAAATAAGCGAAAATAAGTATAAATAATTGTTTTGGTCTAAACTTTTTGGCTTACCATAAATACAAATTTAAATCACCTAGATAAAATGCTTTCTTCCTGAACATGTCACAAAAGTGTAAAGTAAAAAAAAAAAGGCCTCCCAATGGCTAAGATATTCTGTAATAATTAAATTAGCAATATTTAGAAAACAATACAGCATTATTTCTTAAACTAGCTTTTTATCCTGCTCAGAGGTATACATTCATGCCCCTATGGCATTAGGTCAGAATATCAAAATCAAAGACTTTAAATTACTCATCTCCCCCATTTATTTATCGATAAAAGTAGCAATAAACCATTCTAACATACTGCAATTGCGAAATTATGAGGAGAGATAATCGAAAAGAAAAAATTTAAATTCTAATCTAATAACATCTGCTTCTTTTATGTTTTGTTTTATTTTTTATTATTGTAATTATTGTAACATGTGAAAAAGAACAGGTCGTATAAATCTTAAAATCCCCCAAAAAAGAATATGCAAACATCTGGCCACGTCTGTATGGTAAAGGGTGGCCAAGAGTGTCAGCCTTGAGTAACTGTTGTTGTTTAGTATTTTTTCATAAAATTTGATAGAACTTTTTTTTAGTTTTAAGGTTATTACGATGGAATGGAATGATGAGAATAGATTGTAGTTTTCAGGGACAAAGCAGTCAAAACATTGAGGAAAATAGTGAAAGCCCCCTTGTATTAAGCCACTTGAGTTTTAATTTATTCACTTAGCTCCTGCATTAATTTAAAGGAATAGTACACCCAAACCATGATTAGCCTTCATTTTCTACTCACCCCCCATGCTGAACAAAACTCTGGAGTACTTTTTTGATATCTCGTATGCATCTGGAGATCTGGGAGGCTTCTTGCTGTCTGCTGACATTCAAATAATGGAGGTC